TGCATTGCCATGCCCAGCTCATTTATTTTTTAATTTTTATAGAGGATGGGGTGTTGCTATGTTGCCCAGGTTGGTCTTGAGCTTGTAGCCTCAAAGGATCCTCTCTCTCTGGTCTCTCAAAGAGCTAAGATAGACATGGCAAGTGCACCTGGTCTATTAATATAACTTTAATTCGGACTAATGTTCTTTATGTTACAAAGTAGATAGCAAATTATTTTTTGAAATATCACTGCACATTCCTTTAATATTAAAGACAGTTCTATAGTAAGGTAAGTGCACTCATAGTTAGAATATGAAACACAAATAGACTTTAAAGCATATTTTATTAGAAAATTTGACAGAAAATTCATTCAAAAATAAAATTTAAAGTTAAATGTGAAATATGCCAACACTCTTCAGATTTTAGTTATCCTAAAAAAGAAAATGAATTCATTAGAGGAACTCAGATTTGTATAATAGTTTTGAAGTATCTGCCTATACAGTTTAACTCTTGACCAATGATGGGTAATTCTTTTCTCTCACAGTAGGAGATACTAAAGTTACCTGAAAAATTTTATCATGCACATTTACTCATCTTCTCTTTCAAATAAGATTCTATTCTTTCAACAACCATATTGTGGAGTAAACATGAAGGCAAACTTCTACAGTCTCAACCACCAGATATTGGCTTGAATACTGGAGACTATAAAGTAGAAATATCAGCACCATTTTGAGTTTTATAATAAATTCAATAATTTTAAAACCTAAAATATTACTGAATTAACTTGATAGATACCATTTCATTCATATGGCAACAAATTCTAAATGGACCTCTGTGAATTTATTTTTCAACTACTAAGTATAAAGGAGTTGAGAAGACAACAAATGAATAAGCAATCGCCGAAGAAATTTTAAAAAGTAGGTGCTTGAGTAGGAGCAAAGCTATCGTAGAACAAGAATCTAGACATCCAGATCACAGTCCTGACTAGGTCACTGCCGTGGGGTATTACTCTGAATATGTACACACGTCTTTAACACTATTTATTTTGCTAAAAAGTAAAGGGGTTAAAACTGTTCGCTTTAAAACTGTCTGATTTAATGAGTTAGTGATTTAGAATAAAATGATGAGATTTTAGCTGTGTTAGAACATTTTAATTTATAAAAGAAATTACTGAGACTTGTGTGAGTGAACTGATGAACATTATCATCATTTAAATTGTCTTTAAAAATTATTTCAGTTTTTGCTGAGAAAGAAAGTTAATCATTACCTAAAAAACTAGGCTAACTCAGAATTTGAGAGATGAAAAGAACCCTGGGGGTATAATCTTCTTTATATTAATAAATGCCACATGAAAACATTTCTGGTATAGTGAACTTAGAAGGTACCCAATGAATGGAGCTACTACTTCCAATTGTTTGGGATGGTGCTCCTTTAAGTCACTATAATTATTGAGTTTTTTCCTTTAGGACTATTTTTCCCACATAGCCCCAAGTAATCAGTTTGGAAATCATTCCTTCTATATGAAAATGAATAATAAAGTGGGACGGGACCAGGTCTAGGATCCAGCTAGAGGACTATTTAAGCATAAAAAAGAATCATAATAAAATAGAATTATCTTAAGAAAAGGTTAATCGTATAGTTTCAATTTATCAAAAAATGCTAGCATGAGGATAATATTTTATTTATAAGGATGTCATAAAAACTTGATTCTTTGTTTACAAGATACACATTTTAGGACTATTTTTATAATAAACTGAAAATAACAAAAATCTCTGGGAAATTTTTATAAAATATAAAAAGTAGAAAATTAATAACTGCTTATTTTCTAAATGGTTAATGGAATCTGCTAACTGTATAGGACAAATTATTGTTTTTGAAAATGTTGGTATTAATATGTTACTAACAAAAATTTATCATAAGGTATACATAGGCCAAATTACTCCATGCGTATCACACACATGTAGCTTTCTTTGCAGATGCTACAACTGCACGATACTCTGCTTTGTCTCTGCTGTCAAACTCACAAGTCTAAAGTTACTTCTCTATAGGTTGCTCTTCTCATGTGTGAACAAGAAAGTCACATCAGAATCATCTACCTATCTACTTGTCAGTCACGATATAAACTATAAAGTCAGGGGGGTAGGGTATTTCCCAGCTTATCTTCCCCTTGAATTTGGTCTTTTAAGAAAGTAGGCTTTCAGGTACAGTGTACTATGTATACATGTGTGCCAAGATGGCATCCGTGATCTGGTGCTAAAATAGATCTTAATGTAAGCCATCTTTTTTCCCAGTTACGATGTCGACAGAATGAGGCCATAACTTAGTTAGTACATTAAATCCAATGGATTTGTTTTTGAATTCTTGTAGCCTTCAGTAAACTGTACTAAGAAGTAATACAACACAGGGGTTAAGAGGACAGGCAGTGGAACTGGGCTACCAGGGTATGAATCCTGCTTTGTTATTTGCTGGTCATGTAATCAATGGATATATTACTTAGACTAAGCTTCTTCATCTCTAAAACAGGGAATTGATAGTAACTAGCTCCCTGAGATTATGGAGTGGATTAAATGAGAAAAACTATTAAGAGTTGGCACAATGCTAGAAAAATTATAAAGACTAAGTATATTAAAAATATATCATTATTGTTTTAGCTACTTCAGTTATACTGTCAGGCAGTTAAAAAAAACCAGGAGGGTTGATTTTCCATGCTTGGGTTAACTGTTCAAGTCTGAACGGCATCCTGTACATTCCCCTACAACATACACACACACTGTGTGACACCAGCTGCAGTTACTCAGGTGAAACTCTGCACTAGGGCCAAGCTATTAGTCAACCCTCCACTTGACATGGTTTCATCACCAGAGCCATTCTTGGAAATTTGAGGCTTAACTATGAGGCCACTGCACGGCTGTCTTAGAGTGAAGCCATAAATGTTTGTAGGTTGAGGTAGCAAGAGGTGACAATTTTATGAGCTTTAGAACGCATCATAGTAAGTATGGGCAGATGGGTAACAGTGAATTCAGAAGACTTGGAGTCCTAGTGCTTCTGACACCACAGCTTCACACAGAAAACATCAGACTCGATGGAGCACTCAGGAGATCTATGAGTTTTCTTCCAACATTTCATTGATATTTTGTTTTTTAGTAGCATTTTTATGCCAAATCTTATTACAAAACTAGATACTAATCTAGGTAGATAAACCTGCATTAGTTGTCTTTTCAATGACAAAAACTTCATAGCCTAAAGTGGGTCAGCCTCCTTTGGAAAGAGGAAAATTTAAGACAAACTTTTCTATATATCCAAATCTTGTGATTAAAAAAGTACATTGAAAGCTTCCAATTAAAAACAAACACAACTACATAGAAAATTAAAATAATATCAATGGTTCTTGAAGGTTAAATAACTATGTAAAACTATGTGCTAATATAATTTTGAAAAGTTGAATAAAATTAACATATTTCAAAAAATACATAGAGAAACTGTCATATGACAAAATAAAACTCATCAATAACATAAAAAAGCAGTAATGTTTTATCAAAGAAATATCCTTCCAATGTGATAAGTCCTAATAAATTTGCAAATGAAGTCTTTCAAATAGTTAAGCTTGAATATTCTATGTTATATAGTCTATTTAAAACATAGGGAAAAAAACGGAAAGCTAGTCAATACATTTCATAAAACAAATAGAACCCCAGAACTAAACATCAAACAGAAAAATTATTCTTAAAAATTAATTATAAAGTCCCTTTCATGTCAGGTATAATTCCTAGGTAATTTAGTTCTAAAAGTAGTTCAGTAAAATACATGTAGAAAAGTTCTTTCTAATATTTCATACTACATGACAGCTTAAAAGAACCTCTAACATAGTATGTCTTAAGATAGCGTGTACTATAAGGAAAGTTGGGCAAAAAGTATTATACTATATTGCTAGTACATAATCAGAGTGATTTAACTATTACCAACAGATTCACCAAAAAACCATAAATACAAAGAGATAAATAACTGAATCTCCATAAATGAAAAGCCCTTTGCCCAAGAATAAACCACGTTATTGAAAAAATGACCAGAGGGGCTAACAGACTAAACAGGGTTCAATTTACAAAATGCAGACAACAGAGATGGTACTTGTAAAAATTTTTTTAAAAATTAATCATGTGTTAAACATTAGCAGCTGAGAAAAAGTAAATATATTTCAGAGGCCTATAAATTCATTCAATTGAACTGAATTCAAGGAATATGGTAGATGTTTTGGGGAGAAATAAATGATAACTGAATATTAAAAATTTCGAATTTAAGCCAAAAATCAAATTTATCCTCTTTTTCTAACAAAGCATTTTTTAGACCTTTAAAAATCTTTGGAAACCTTCAATTTTGGTGACCAGAAAGCCCTAATTTGATAATGCTCCAGAAGTCTGATTATACATTTTGTCCCCCACTTCTAAACTTTGAGAACCTTGGGCTGAGTAATTCATTTCAAAATATACTCATAAAAACAATCAGAAGGAGTAATACATGTTTTACTTGTGGTGGGGAAAGAAGGGAATCCTAGAAAATTCCTATTTAACCCAAAGAAGGTACATGTCAGAGAATGAAGGAGTCAATCTCCTAGAAAACCATTTCCTTGAAAAGTAAATTCTTAAAAATACAAGGGTGATGGAGTAAAGCTAGAAAAAAAAAATACAAATAAACCAAGGAAACAAAATTGTTTCAAACTTGAGATTATAAAATTGTGCTATTTATATGGCATAAATTGAACCCTGCTTTATTTCAAAATAAAGCAAAAATAAAATTAACAAAAAAATTCATACCGTAAGAGAAAGAAGTGCAACCCAATTTAACTGATTTTTAATAATTATTGCACCAATGAGTTTAGAAAAGACACAGCCCAAGAGATTATTATTTAGCATAGGAAAAACAAATTAACATATGCGAAATGCAATGCATTGGATAATTTTCTGGTGTTGAGTTAGCATTGCATATAGCAAGGATTAGAAACAAAATAGAAAGTTCTATTTCGTACCTATGTCACTGGCTACCATCTTGGAAAACTTTCTGCTTTTGGTCTTCACTGAAAATAATATTTTGATATAAAAATGTCAAAATCTATTCAAAATAAACTAAATAAATTAAACAGAAATAAAATACTTTAAAATAAAGATACTATACCCTTTTCTATAAAATTATTCATTTTTTGTTCATCATCTGAATTGTGAGGTGATGAAGAACCTACATGAATGAAGACAATGGAAGGAACAGGCACAGAGTCAGTCACAAACACCGAGTCGTAACAAGACAAAAGCACACGTGAAAAGTCTGGCAACTTCTAAAGCAAGTTCCCACATTACTGACCACAAGGAGAGGCCATGTAAACAGTTAGTAACAATTTTTGTAACATTACAGTACAGTAATCATCAATATCTACCATCAATATTTTTCATGGGAGATTCCAGTACTATATTTGTGAATTAACTGTAAAATCATTTCTCCTTGTGTAACAATAATTTGGCAAAATCTTAGTATATATCATATGCCAGAGAACATATAAAAAAAAAGTAAGTAGCAGTTTACTGTTTCTTACAGAAAATTCAGAAATTCTAGATATCAGTTAATTGAGTAAGGTTCCTCCAGTAGAATCAAGATCATGTTCTAGTACCATGCTGGTAAATTTTGTTATGTTTGACAGTTTTAATACTACGTATCTGTTCTATTATATACCATAGCAACCTTTAAAATACACAATAGGCATCTTTACAATAGTGACCATAATACTTACATTTTAAAATATATTCAAATTTTTACTTAAATTTACTGAAGAAATATTTACCTCTGGCTGTGACTCTTCCCAATGTTAGCATATAATCTTCTCTAACATTTCTATAATTAAGATTTTATTTACCCTTTTTCCTTAAAAATGTTTCTAATTTCTCATAGTATTTCTTTATTTTTAACCTGAGCTTTTGTTATAAATACAATCCTAAATTATATTCTGACCGTTAATTTTTAGATACCTATTCTTTCACAGGCTCATCTCAAATGATGTTATCATTAATTAAAGTTTCAATAATCTCCCCAGTTTGAATTTGCAAACATTTTATTTAAATGTGTATTTCTCATATGATGTTAATCACTTAATGCTTTATTATTCTGAATTGACACAAATTTGACCTTTTTCCTGAACTAACTTCTAACTTGTTTTATATTTACTGTGTCAGTTTTAATAATCTATAATGCACCCTTAACTATTTATTTATTTACATCTTATCACTCTGGGAAGTACTTGAGATTGCAATTTCATTGCTAACTTTGTTTTTAAAACATGATCCCTGTGTGGCTCTTCTGATTCAACTCAAACTCATTTGTTACCCTGTTTTGACCATCCATTCTTTTACTTCCTTGTTAGAATGCTAAAAAGTTATACATACACAAAAGGTGAGACAATGAGTCCCTGATAGATAGCAAAAATTATTATTACCTATTTTAAAATGGATGAGTTGAGAAAGACACACACAAGTTATAAGACTGTGTAGAGTATCAGAGAATAGCTTTCCAGAATCTCATTGGAGTCTCTACTGCATTGCTCTTGGTATCTATGTATCACTGAAACTACCTCTGTCATCTGAAACACATTTCAGACACAACTATTGCCTACTGAAGTTTAACTTTTTAAAAGTGGGCTTTCCTGATATATAGAAATAGATGTAATTCCTTAGAGAATTATTTTATTTTTCAGAGCATAGTCAAACAACTAAATAAAAAGCTCTGTATTTAAAGATAAGAATAAATGATTTATCAATAAGTCATTTATCAATAATTTTTTGATAATTTTATCATAATTTTTACTTTGGACTTCAAATATACTAGACAGAAACAATATCTAGTGTCATGTAAATTTCTATATGTTAAAACTATTCTGTCTTTTCATGTTGACCAAATAAAGTACAAATTATATCTGAAACCCCAAACCATGTTTGAGATTCTCTGGTTGAAGAGGAGAAAATTTGGAAGATTTTTGCCTTTTTTTACTTTTGACACTTATATATTTAGATTTAAAAATTCTTATAACCTTCTCTACAGTAACCTCTTGATTATTTCAAATTGCTACATGTAGCCAGTACTCTGACTCATAGTCAGAGGTGAGCCACTGTGCCTACCCTTGATTGAATCTTACTAAAATACTTTCAATGGTTACTTAACATATACAAATATATTACATGTTACATGTCCAAATTTTCTACCCTGGTTTACATTATATCCATAACATATCAACAAGTATATTTACATGGCCTTTGGGGAAGGTGAGGTCAAAACAGTATTTTATGAAGTCACAAAAAAGAGTAATAATATATTATAATTCTAAATTTAGAAACAACTAGTCCTATGAGATATAAAAGTTATTCACTTCATATTGTTCATTAATTCCACCAATGTTAAAACTTAGCATGAGGTACTAATTATGTTAGCAATTCCTACACTTCCATGTTTTAACTTAATGAGTACATTTAAATATGACATTTAAAAAATAATAGAAAGTCTAGATACATTTGACTTTAAGAAACAATCAACGGGTACATGAGGAAAATGCAAGTATAAAAATATAACACTACAAAACTTTTACAGTTTTAGAACTAATAAAATGCTAAACCAAAATATGAGGAAATAAAGCAAATTACCATTCTCAATATTTCCCATTCTTACTATTGTTTCTGATGTAGTAGAACCAGCTACTGAAGACTCAAAACCTGTTTAAGAACAGTGATATTTATGCTAAAAAAATCTTTCCAGTAAAAAGCTGATAAAAATTCCAAGCCAAAATGATTTATTAAATACGGTAGTTAAATTATGAAGTCAACTTTAAAAAAAGATTAGCCAAGTTTCAATTCACTAAAATAAAATAATAAATTCAGGATCTTAATTTAAAAGGATCTTCAAAGATACCACAAATAATGTTCCTCTGAGATATTAATATACATACAGATCATGTGAAGACCCATGTACAGACAAGGAAAGAGACACCTGTTTCAATACAGCTACAAATATATCAGAAATTACTTTCATCAGAACTGAAAATAAACATAACTCATAGTATTTTACTTGTCTACGCTTATCATCAGATGATAAGTGTTAAAAATCCTTCATAAAATTTATATGTATATCATTGAAGGACTAGAGAGAAAAGCAGATTCTATTATCAACTTTTCTTTGCTTCCATCCAATGTTACTAGATGGTGGCAGGAATGCCTGGAGCAAAGACTATAAATAACTGAAAAATCCAATCCAATGGTAAAGAGCAAAAAATATCTTCCCTAAAAAAACTGCAAATACGATTAAGTAAATAATTCTATGACTCTGAACTGGTCAAAGCTTTGGATTTTTACTTAGTACAGCATACATTTCTTTTCACTTAACCAGAATTTAAACAATGCAAATATGATTTTAAGAATAAACAGGTGACACAGAAGATTTTCTGTATTTTAAATGCTTATCTGTAAAAATGTACATTGATAATGCTATCTGGGTTTTTGTAGAATCACAATTAGTAATGAAATAAAAAATTACCAGAAGTTGGAGATTTGCAGCGATCCTCTGGGACTACCGTCCCTTCACTAATATCGCAGAGACCTGCTAAAAAATAAAAACACATAAAAAAAGTCACACTACAAATCAATATAAGGGCAACGTTGTCCTCTAGTTACAGTACATATGTCATTACTGTCCATTTAAAAGAATCCAGAAGATTAACAGAGAGATGGTATGGTACCATGCTCATGAGGTTTGAGACAGGAACACAGAGACATTTTAAATTAAAGCACCTCAATCTCATAGAGCAGTAACCACTTAAATAAATGAAAACATAAGCTATGATAAAATAAAACATACAAAAATTAATTTTCCTGGTGATTAAAATGATAAAGTTTCCTACACATTGTTTAAAAATAATGAATAAACAAAAATACAACAGGGCAACAAACAAAAGGTCACGTGACTAAGCCTCAGAAGTCAGGGGTCACATAGAGGTACAGGATGTGCACAGATGGCCGGTGTCACCTTTTCCAATATTTTAGTTAAGCAGTGGTTCTCAACCTTCTTAATGCCGCTACCCTTTAATACAGTTCCTCATGCTGTGGTGAGCCCCAATCATAAAATTATCTACAGCTGGGGGTCACCACAACACGAGGAACTGGATTAAAGGGTCGTGGCATTAGGAAGGTTGAGAACCACTGGGTTAAAGACTTGATGTCACAATCCCAACAGTCACTGAGGAAGCTTTTACAATAACGTTTACAAGAATACTGAATACTGAAATTAGGTTTATAAGAAGTGCTTACTAGTTTGAACTATAGGCAGTCCCCAGGTTATGAATGAAATAGGTTGTGTAGGTTTGTTTTTAAGCTGAATTTGTATGTAAGTTGGAACAGGTACATTGACCTATCACCTGTAATAGTCTCCATTCATTAAGTGGGAATCACATATCATCATACATCAGTGGGATGATTGTAAGTTGGGGAGTGCCTGTGTGTATTACATGTCCTCAAATGTAGGAGAGGTTCTTGATTAACAATAAGTATGCTTTAAAAAAAATCTTCATCAAACTAATGGTTCTGGAGAAAATCCTGATTTTTATAATTGTAAGATGACAGACATGGAATTATGGGTATGCATTTAATCTTTGACCACATGTTTGTCTAAATGAGCTCTCTTGACAGAACACTAAGACAACAGGCCTCCAAAGGGTAGTGATAATATACTCTAATATCATAATGTGCCTAGTACTGACTAAAAATAATAAATTTTGAAATTTTAACCTCTTGCTATTTGTGTCAACTACCAAACACTATACCAGGGGAAACTACTTTGAGGGTGAGGTGAAGTCCGTATGATGTAGAATTACTGAAGCTAAAAATGGACTATCTGATACAGCTCGTGTTCTGAAAATGGCCCCCGAAAAAGCATTTAGGAAGATGAATTTAAAAATATGGAGAGACTTAATTTAGGTACTAAATTTATTATAGTGACCATTAAATGAACTCAATACCCTTCAATGTCTTCTGTCTCACTCAGGGTAAAAGTCAAAGTCCAACCCACATGGTTGGTTGGTGTGTGTGACCCTATGGTACCTGGGATCTTGGCACCTCTCTGACTTTACTTCCTTCCCTGCCCCCTCGTGCTCCTCCAGCTGCACGGACTCCTCTTTGCTCCTTTAACTCACCAGGTATAGCCTTAGAGTCATTTGTGCTTGCTGTATCATGGTTTAAGCTGGGAGGCTGGCAAATGTTTCCATAAAGGTCCACACAGTAAATACTTCAGGCTTTCTGAGCCAAAACCTCTGTCCAACTACTTAGCACGAAAGCAGCCACATACAGCAGATAAACAAGTGAGCATGTCACTGCTCCAATAAAACAGTATTTACAAAATCACTCAGAGGGCCAGCCTAGGCCTGTAAACAGCGGTCTGCTGAGTCTTGGTTACATCAGTCTTACAATTAATTGTTAAACTGAACTAGGTATTTAGGTCACTTTTACCTGGTTCACAAAAGTATCATTGGAATTCTTTAACACCTCATTAACTCCAAGAAACATTATTTCAATGGGCTGCCATATGTCATCAATGTAGTTAACAGATTTAAAAAATAATACTCCCTTTACAACTTACTTTCAGTGAACTTCTGCTGGACTTCTACTCATCCTCTGTTTTCTGCATGCATACCAAGTGTGCTCATAGAGACACAGAGGGAGGCTTTCTGCAGTTCTGACTAATGTGTACCTCAAATTAGTTATAATATTTGATCTTCACCAATGGGGAGGGTACCTTTTAAATCCACAAATTCTCTTGATATCCTTTTATTATTGCTTAGTATTCCTTATTTACCTAAAGTAGTTCAGATTTTAATTTCTCTTTATTATTTTTCATATTTTCCAAAAAGGGAAGAAAAACATTCTTCTTAATATGGAATTGAGAAGTAGTTATTTAGTTCTATCTTTTGTTTTTCAACTACCATTTAAAAATAGCCCCAAATTGGGGTCCTAATTTCTTTCTTAACCATATTTTTATTGCAACCAAACATTGTTTTATTGTTTATTTTATTTTTAACACAGTACTTATTGTTCCATTCTTGACTATGTCCATTATTTTTTAATATAGTATTTTTGGTTTCTTTTCATACACACAGAGAAATTTTTAACAGTACTATTTCAGTCCATAGCTAGCTTTCCTTCTTCATCTTACTGAACATACTGAAGACTTGAAAGTAATTGCCATTGAAATAAAAAAGTTCATCTTTTGTCTCCTACCCATAACTTTTGGAAAAATCTTTCTTAAAGTCTAGCAAACTAGATTTGCCTGTGGTCAACTGCCAAGAGCAAGCAATGTGTCTAATTAGTGTCTAAAGCACTAATTAGATCTTATTTGCACTTTGGAATTATATTCAGAATAGAAATTTCCCTTGCTGTGTCCTTCCCTTTATGAATGATAATTCACTTTTGATAGAATTAGACTTTTAACAGATAAAGGGGTACTTGAAATACTTTATCACCACTTATCCCTGTGAGAGTTATGTAATATTTATTTGGACAATTCTGTCTATATTTTAGTTGACAAAACACTGCACAGTGAGCATCTATAGCATATTTAAACTTAGCCTAAATCATCTCATAAAATAAATTCCTGAGTCAACAAGACTGTTTATGAAAATTTATCAACAACTTTTAGGTGCAAAAAACCCCTGCTCATTCAAACTGATTGATTAAAAAAGACTAAGGAGTAATTTCTTAATATTTGGGGCATATAGCAAGAACACATAAAATATATGCTTTAGCAAGATTATTATTTTTATACCAGTATAATTAAAACATTTTAGTACCAGTTATTCTACACTTAATTTTATTTGAAAAACATATAAGTATCTGTTAGAATTAGAGGTGCAGATATTCTTAAAATGTTATTTTAGGCTGGGTATGGTGGCTCACTCCTATAATCCTAGCACTCTGGGAGGCCAAGACGGGTGGATTGCTTAAGCTGAGGATTTCAAGACCAGCCTGAGCAAGACCCAGACCCCCATGTCTACTAAAAGCAGAAAAGCTAGCTGGGAATTATGACAGGCACATGTAGTCCCAGCTACTTGAAAGGCTAATGCAAGAGGGTCTTTTAGCCCAAGACACTGAGGTTGCTGTGATGCCAGGACACTTTACCCAGAGAGACAGTGTAAGACTCTGTCTCAAATAAAAAGATGTTATTTTAAAGCATATTTTAAAATAGTTTAATTTTTATTTAGAACATAACCTTAAGTACTAGTAAAGTACCTTATAACAATCAGTAAATATATTTAAATTAATAAAGGACAACTCAAATACTTCTGTGATCTATTTCTTTAATACAAATGAAGCAAATAATAAAACAAAAAATGTATAGTATGAGGTTTACTAGAGAATACAGTAGGATGTTGTATTTTTTCAGAAAATTTATTTTTAAAATCACAGGGTAAAATTGACCCTTCCTATCCTTGGATAAATTTAGGCATTTAATTTCTAGTAATTTTATATAAACTAATACAAGATATAAAGAAGAAAAGTGATTAATTTAGGACTCATAACATTTTTATCAGATTTTTAAAAAACTGTTCAAAATTTTTGTCTTCTAAAACACCTTCTCTGTCATGGCAATGTCCTAATTGTGAAACACCACCTGTTAGTATCTTTGCTTTATAAAGAAACAGGATTGGGACATGAGCATTTCATAGCTGTTTTCATATACACAGTGTGAGATGAATGTAAGTAAAAAGCATACAGAGTTTTATATATATAGATAGAATGTTTGAGCAGGCTCTTTTAAAATTAAATGAGAAAAAACAATGATTTTACAGACAAAGAATAAACACGCTAACACATTTATGACTTACTTAAAAAAGAAGAACGGAGTTTTTCAGACTCAGAATATGAGCTAGAAAGACCGCACATGCAAGAAGCCACAAGCAGCAGACCTCAGAGCAGCCAGGAGGGAGGAAGGATGGAGAAAAGAGACAAAGGAACCAGAACGGCATGGTTGGGACAATAATCTTTCAGAAGATAATACATGATAAAATGGTCACACAAACACAAATGGAAAAAAAAATACTCTAAAAATAAAAATCTGATCATCAAGCCAAAGTGACAGAAAGATATATACTCCCTCATCTTTTTTTGTTTTTATTTTTCTAATAAGTTGCAAAATTGGTAATATTAGCTAGGAATACACTGAAAGCAACTGAAAAATGAATTTGAGAAAGAATTTTGATAGCAGAGAAACTGAGTTTGGAAGTACAGGCCAGAACTTCCCACTGTCCCAGTGTACCCTGGTGTTAATGTACATCAGGTATGCTCCAAGTAGGGCTGCCCTCAATCCCTGGGCCAGCTGGGCAGGCCCAGGGGACACTGGAGCATCAGGTCAGTTTTTACAGAGAGCTTTATTGTGAGTGCATCCTGTCTACCATACACCAAATGCCATTTTCTGTGTATGAAAAGAAGCAAAAACCAAATAAACAAAAAGGCAAGAAGTATTGGTATAGATAGCTAACTATACTTGGGTATCACAAGCTACTAGTATTACAAGGTTTATAATTAAAACTAACTACCTAGCAAACACACAAGTCAGAATATTATAAAGAGAATTCTAAATGATCTGGGTTTGCAGTGAGTCGAGGCTTTCTGAGAATGCTATATTTTCATAGCATTCGAATTCACTTTTGCATCTGTATTTTTTCATCATGAGGGGATTAAGTCCTTTGAATTAAATAGTTGAGACACTGAATTACTGGTCTCACAAGGACAAAGAATAAAAAGGGGCAAAAATTTTGGAATTAACTTTTGTTCTATAATAATGAAAAAAATACTCCTGTTATAATTTACCTGAAAAGTTTGACCCTCTGGGTCTTTCTCAATGTTAAATAAAATCCTAGATTATATATATTTTTAAAAAGGCAAAAAAACCCAGGAATATAAAAGAGGAAAAAGCCCTCATCCCTTTTCCTAGTTTTTGACAGTCAATGTAGGTATACTATCCAGATTAAATCAGGCAATCCATTTACCTAACTGAAGTACTTATATTCGCAGTAGTAAGTCAGCATTTATAAAAATGCAAAAGCCTGGACTTTTCTGTTTTTCTTTTTACCTCCTGAAGGTTGTCGAGATTTGCGAGGAGATCGGGGTTCTCTCCGGTAAGGATCGTTAGAGCCATATAATTCAATAGTGCCCAAGTTAAGCAGCACTGCTTTCTGGAGGTAGTCAACCATAGCAATGCCATTACAATTGCCAAAAACAACCCTGGGAACAGAAAAAGAGCAAATGTATTATGACAAACAAATAATTACCAAAAAATTGTATTGTAGTCTATAAAGATGAAGACGGGGCATGATGGGTCTTTCACAAAATTCCTCTTTGAAACAAAAGAAAACCATGAACACGGAAATAGAGGTCATGTATACCTTCTCAGAGAACTGTTTATATCATCTGCAGACATTGTTATCGTTAAATCAGTTAATTATCACTATCATAAAAAAGATTTCACAAAGGATTTGAAACCTGATGAGAGATACAAATCTCAACTTAACATCTATTTTTCTGCCTTCAGGGTGTTTTGAGCCCTTTGGGGAAGACATTCCCTTCCGCTAGGAAAGTAGAAGACTAAATGATAATTGGGGAAAGTTTGGTAACTCCTGCAATTTGGAATAAAAAGTAGGGAACATTAGCCTTGGAGGCCTCCCCTTGGAGTGTTTGAAACACCTTCTCAATTATCAGAAAGTATAAGTTAATCAACTATGAATAAAGGAATGTTACTTTTTACAATCTCTGAAGCTACGAGTTGAAAAATGCCCTGTATAGAGGTACTGTGTGAGTACGCAGAAGAAGCCATGCAGGAACCAGGGTGATCTGAGAGTGTGGGATGCGTCTAAAGAGGAAAAACTTCAACTCACTTCCAGCAGAATACTGCCATGGAGAAATGCAGACTGTGCCAATGATGAGACTTCTCAGCTTAAGTTTTAAATAGATACTTACACATTACATAATCTTGGCAACTCATTCACATCACAAAAAACATTTAGAACGGGCCACACTACAGCTATGAGCCTGTGACTGGTTTGCAACTTCCCTCCTTCTCTCATTCCCTGCTTGTTTTCTTTAAGATTTGTGAGCAATAAAATATTTGAAAGAACATCTATGTGTTTACATTGTGGGACAAAAGTAAAAGATATGAGAGAAAACTATCGCCAGTATTAGTGTGGTCTATAGTTGTCTGTCAGTATCCACAGGGCATTGGTTCAGGGACCCCACAAACCCTAAAATATACTTTATATTCTCATACACTTCAAATCATCTCTAGATTATTTATAATACCTAATACAATGTAAATGCTATGTAAATAGTTTATTATACTATTTTTAAAAAAATTATATTTTTTATTTATTATATTGTTATTTTAAATTGTATTTTCCTCCTGAATATTTGCAATCCATAGTTGGTTGAATCAACAGATGTGGAACCCATGGCCACCGATGGCTACCTATACAAGAGGTAAGAGCAGGTGGTGGTAGTTACCAGGAAGAATGAATGAGAGAGACTCCAGGGCTAATAACAAGAACAAAGACAGTCAACAATACGTGATAAATAGCTCTGGAACCAAACAGTTAGTAAGCAGTACCTTGAAACTGCAATGTGGATATTTGAAACAAAGTAACAGTAAAATGTACAAAATGCTTGATAAGTCTGTCATACTGTAAAAAAAAAGTATGTGTAATTAACACTGTATATTTGAAGGCAGAGTTGATAAATAATACAAATAAACCTGAAGTATAAACGAATACACTGCTAAACATTGCTATGATCTTATAGTTCATATATGTTAATTTTAGAAGTAGAACAAATGACACAGCTGCAGTTCAACCTTTACAAAATCTATTTATAATAGTCTTCTGGGTTCAAATTGTTTTATCTCCGCTATACTGAATATTAAAAAAATTATTTCTGGATTTATATACAGGAGATACAAATTTTGTCTCAAATAATTTATTGGTCCCTGAGATATTCAACTTTATATCAGGAAGTAGTATATACATCCCCAGAATAAGTTGTTCAGAACAAAATTATGAATTTGGTCTGAAATTAAAGTCATGCACCAACTATTTTAGATGATGATATAACAAATAATATCCTTTCTATTTTTAAAAATAAAATGGGATATGGAGTATTGTGATAGGATAAGAAAAATAAAACTGATACTTACAGCCCATAGGAAGAATTAACTGCCAGGCTGGTAATTTGTTGCGGTGGTTCTCCACTCACCCACACCAACTGAATAACTAGTTCTGTCTGATAACCTGGAGACTGCTTAAGTGGTGAATTTTTAACTCTGAAATAAATGAAAGTGTGTCACCTTTTAGCCCATTTCAATTATCTTATTAGCCTCTGTAATTATAAAGTGATACATAGCCATACAAAAATAACCTTTTATATGAAATTATACTGGATGTTTAAAGCTACCAATAAAAAAAAATCAGAATCTTGATATCAAGAAGCATTTAATCTAGATGGAGAGACTAAACAGATACATAAAAATAAACAAAAAATCAAAGCAAACTCCATATATAAAAATGGGGCAGGATAGAAAAGGAGAGAAGGTGAGAAGGGGGAGGGAAGAAAGTGAGGGACAGAGAGGGCAGGGAGAGGGTTGGGGCGAAAGCTGAGGAGCAGCAGCTGCCCAGGAATTAAAGAGTTAGTAAAAACTGCCAGTTAGAAAAGCAGGTTTAAAATTTAAAAACATGATTTTACTAAAGGTGTTAAAACAGGCTAAAAATATGTAAGTTAAATAATGAGTTGAAAACAAATGTTAGCAGTTTATTTTTGTATATAACTACTTTTATTAGAAAATAAATCTGGCCAGGCCCATGGCTCACATCTGTAATCCTAGCACTCTGAGAGGCAGAGATGGGCAGACTGCTTGAGACCAAGAGCTGGAGACCAGCCTGAGCAAGAGTGAGACCCCGTCTCTACTAAAAAATAGAAAAATTAGCCTGGTGTTGTGGCAGACACCTGTAGTCCTTACTGGGCAGATTGCCTTAGCTGAAGAGTTTGGGGCTGCTGTGAGCTATGATGATACCATGGCACTGAACCTCAGAGTGAGACTCTGCCTTAAAAAAAAAAAACACTGAATTTAAGTTGATAGTATTTTTGATTGTACAAACTCTTTCCCCAGTAAGTACTGAATAGTGACAAAAATATTGCTCTTGTAAAACATACATAACAAAAGAAAGAAATAGAAACCCCATATTTGAGGATTGATAAGCCAAAGTGTTGTCATAGTGGAAGGCATATATAGAAAAAGTGAGGAAACAGTATAAAAAGATAGACCAGGGCCAGGCTTTAAAGCAGTGGTTTTCGGCTCGGCGCCTATAGCTCAAGTGGCTAAGGTGCCAGCCACATACACCTAAGGTGGCGGGTTCGAATCCAGCCTAGGCCACCAAACAAACAATGATGGCTGCAAACAAAAAATAGCCAGGCCTTGTGGCAGGCACCTGTGATCCCAGCAACTTAGGAGGCGGAGGCAGGAGACTCGCTTGAGCCCAGGAGTTGGAGGTTGCTGTGAGCTATGCCATGGCACTCTACCCAGGGGGACAGCTTGAGGCTCTGACTCAAAAAAAAAAAAAAAAAAAGCAGTGGTTTTCAACCTTCCTAAGGCCATGACCCTTTAATATAGTTCCTCATATTGTGGTGACCCACAACCATAAAATTATTTTTGTTGCTACTTCATAATTGTAATTTTGCTACTGTTATGAATCATAATGTAAATATCTGATATGCAGGATGTATTCAGGCCACCCCTGTGAAAGGGTCATTTGACCTCCAAAGTGGTCGTGACCTGACCCACAGGCTGAGAGCACTGCTTTCAAGGATCTTGTGGTCTGGCCACAAAAGGTTTGATGATAGTAGAAAAAACTCTAGGCTGTGGGAAAGCTGGAGGGTGAGCCTGGGCCCTGTCACTTAGCAGCCTTTTTACCTAAATAGTAGGAATATTACTACATAATCACAGTATGAGGAAAATGTGAGTGCCTATGAATGTAGTCCATAGACAAATTACACAAAAGTAATATATTTTCATTATTGAAGAATTAAAACGAATGAAAGTTTATCAGACATATTTGGGAAAGATTAATTTGGTGGACATATATAAGATACAGGAGAATATGGGGGCCAATTACAAAGTTCCTGTGATTCTGATAAGAAAAAAGAAGCAGCTGGATTTGAAACACTTATGGAGTAAGAATAAACAGACTTTCATTTCAGGAAGGTATTAAGCTTGCAGCTACTTTTAATACTCTAGTGTAATACTCGGTCATACTGATTGAATGCCTGAGCGAGAGGCTGATTAGAGGTAGAGGAGAGGAGGAAAAAAGTAGAGTGATTCTGCAGTTGAAAGAAAGAAAGGAGGGAAAAGAAGGGACGGAAACTAGATGGACAGCAGGATGAAGAAAGAGGAAATTTAGGGGACCATATGGTTAAGTCCGAGGTGATGGTAGGGAGTAAGAGTGAACTGCTCAGCAGGCAGTAACTGTATCCCCAAACTTCACGACTAGTACATTCGTGCTGCACTTACGTTGGTTAAACATGTGACAAGCATGTTAGAAAGTTAAATGTAACAGTGTGAGAAGTTCTGACACAATACCTGTTCCACCAGTAATAGAAAACTGTAAGTGCATTTGAAAGATGCATCTGTTTTTAATGTGAACAATAGTTATTTAGAAATCTGGTGTGACTTTAAGTTGAGAACATGTTGAACATGTTAAGGTGATTGACTCTTTCTCCAACAACTGCCCTGCAAACCATATGTAAAGCCTGGTTACTCCAACAATTCGTAAGGCTTTGGCTCAAAGGGACGAGTGTATGAAAGAAAAGCAGTAGGGCGCTGACTCACGGCTGAAAGTCCTAACATCAAACTCAGAGGTGAGAATACAGCTGAATTTCCTTCCAGTTGGCACTTGTAATGAGGAAGGCCATGACACCTGACTCTTTGATTGCATATTTGCTAGGTAAGAATGGGTTGTCCAGACTTGAGGGTAAGTGAGAATCACAGAAGCTACTCCTAATACAGCTATCTGAGCTAGAGTCACCTGGGGCTGTGCAAAGTTTTCAAGGCAATGCATTCAGACCTGTATACCAGCTTATGCAAAATTCCTGAATTCTCCTTAGGGAAATACCCACTCATCAGCTGCAGCTGTCCACCTCAACAGACAGAAGTAAACACTTATGGATTCCATTCAGAGACAGCCTTGACATGGGCACAGGCTGAAGAGTCTGAGTGGGCTATCGTCTCCTTGTATGAGTTAGGCATAAAAGGTCAGGTTCAAGGAAATATCCTCCCTCTCTCTGGCATATTAAATGTGCACATTTGGTCAGAATCTCAAGAGCAGAACAGGCATTCCAAGGATAATTATAGGAGTGTGTATACGGGCACATTTAATATTTAAGTGACTGGCAAAATTAAAAAGCTAGGCATATTTGATGCAAAATCCTCAACTGGTGAAAAATTAGAAAACTAATTAAATAATGGCAGCTAAGTTAGATTTTAGAGTTACAAAATGAGAAGGGGGTGTTACATTTTATGTCCACAGTAGTTATACGTAAGTTGTCATTTTACTGCTTTTAATACATTACATTTATTTACTATTTAAAGACAAAGCGTTGAACTTCTATGAAAGCTACATAATCTATACAAGTATATGTTAAATGTTAAAGTGATATTTAGAGACATTAAGAGTTTCAAAATGATTATTTATTTGAACAAATACCTTGCAAAGGGACAATTAAAATACATAGAAACAAAATTTCACTTGAAAAAGGAACAAATCAAACAGTTGCTCTGAAAATGTTTCTTCAAAAAAAAATCAACCATGCACAAAGGAATTTTATATGAAAAAAATCTCAATATTGATTATATTTTAACATCAATTTGTTATATTTCTTACTTTAAGAAACTGGTCTTTGGTCCTGTGGACTAAAACAATATCAAGTTAATAAAGATCTGAATTTACCTGAAAGACTATTAAAAAAAATGAGGTATAACTTAATTGTTTGTGATTTTAAAAACTGTTATAATATACATATTTTAGACAAAAATCTCAAAAACTGATATATCTTCACCAGCTTATGTAAAATTTTACTAAGATACTAGTATCCCTCTTTAATATATCCCTGAACATAATGACTCTCCCTTCAAAGTTGGTCCTTTAGTAAGGTAACACAAGAGAATTATCCAGACCATAAATAAATTCTGACATAATGGCTGAAGAAAAAGAAATACAGTTATCATGCAATCCCCATGTTTATAATATGTGTATACATTCTGGTTCATGGGTTCTATCGGAAGCCTAAAATAAGGATCAAAATAACCATAACTATATATGTGTGTGTGTGTGTGTGTGTGTTCTTACTTTATGGTATGTTTTATTTATTTATTCATTTATTAATTAACTTATTTGGGGACACAGACTCACTCTATTGTCCAGGCTAGGGTGCTGTGGCACCAGCCTAGCTCACAGCAACCTCAAACTCCTGAGTTCCTACAGTCTTCTTGCCTCAGCCTCCTGAGTAGCAGGGACTACAGGCACCCACCACAATGCCCAGCTTATTTTTCTATTTTCAGTAGAGACGGAGTCTCAGTCTTGCTCAGGCTGGTGTGGAACTCATGAGCTCAAGGGATCCTCCTGCCTCAACCTAGTGCTAGGCTTACAGGTAGAAGCCACTGTAGCCAGACTACATTATGCTTTACTAAGATTCACTTACATTTGTGTTAAAATTCTAATTTTAAAGTTTTAATGTTGTAATTTAGATTTATAGTTTAAAACATCAATAAATAACATCATATATTAAAGTTAATAAATTTTTTTTATTCATTTAAACCAGAAAAAAGCAATCAAGGATACAAAGTTCACACATACACCCACACACAGAGTCAGGTAAGCAATTAGTAGAACTAGTTTGCTACATCTAGTGTTTCTTCCTGAGTTAAGTTCATTGGACTCTTGGGTCTCTCTCCACCCCTTTGCAAGGTCAAGTGCCTTATGTAGCAGGTAAATATGGGAAGAATTGGGAGCAAGTCTGTCTAGGCATGCATTTTCTCCTGCACTTAACGCTGCCAGGGCTGGGAGGAAAAGGCTGCCTATGTACGCAGGTCAGTTGGTATTTGGAAGTTTCAACTTGCCCTTGGGCATCATCATCTTTATCAATAATTAAGGTGATGCTTCTGTCATCACCTGAAATTATTTTATTTCTTTATGTGTTAAGAATATAGATGAGAGTAAAGAGCAGTGTAATTACTGGGTTGCTGTGTAGATACTAAGTAGCAATTATAGACCGCCAGGTGCTGGCTGAATCTCTCAGAAGTCTTTTAACTTTGAACTACTAGAGAGTTATAGCCAACTCATAAAATAGAGCCATAAGGCAGTTTACTTGTATCTGATTAAAAAATCTGCTTTCAAAAAAGAATTGTCATTTAAAACATTAAAAGTCTTAAGATAAAACGATTTTATAAAATTATACACAAGGGTAACGTAACTCAAAAACAAAGTAATTTGATCTCTTACTTAAGCTATGCTCAACAGTCTAAAAGACAACTGTAGTGATGTATTTTGTTGTTCACCTGGTAGTTTTACTGCTAGTAATAATTTTAATATTGCAATTTTGGATTTAATTTTTGTTAATGCATAAAGAAAAATTCCAAATTAATAAAAAATTACAGAAAAAGAGTGGTTTGACAAAGAAGTTAAAAAATTAATTAGTTACATTGTCGAGCAGCGGTTCTCACCCTGTGGGTCACTGTGGCATTAGGAAGGTTGAGAACCACTGTTGTAGAGTAATGTGAAAATTCAGTAAGAAGTATAAAATTTTAATTATTCTTTTTTTAAAAGCTTATTTTTTTCTAGCTCTTGTATAGTATAGTATATTATAGTGCTTATTTAAAACAATGTTACATATATTCCTAAAAGTCGTATTTCATCCCTTACTTTATTCTCCACTAAAGGACCCAGAACTTCTTAGAACAGCTGATTCCATATGAGAGGGCAGGCAGAGGTCAAGGCAAGTCTAGAATATCTTCTTAACACAGATTATAAGAATGGTCACATAAATTCTGAGGTGGTGTTAAAAATTCTCAAGCACCAATTTAAAAGAAGCTTCCTCCAGCAACTATGACAAAAATCATGTTAAGGTAATAAAATTCAAAAAATTAAAACAATTTGCCAATTCCAAAAAAAAGTAGGGGTCTATAATGACATTCAAAAGGGCAAAAAATAACATTATCATCAAATCAGTCACATTAACTTTTTAGGATTAAGAAAAAAATTTGTTTATACATAATTGCGCATATATACCCAAGATAGGCAAAGTATATTCACCCATACAAGTTAACAGTTAATGACAACAAAAAAGGACTCCTGCTCACATAAAATATTAATGAATTGGCTACATGAGATTTTCTAGCTAGCAGGACTCCTCTTAAAAAGCATTTTTAAAAAAGCATTAAAAAGCATTCCTTTATTAAGTGATATTCTACTAAATAATTGTAAAAGATTAAAAGTGTGCCAAAACATGCCATCACAAGTATCAAAGGCCCTCCCAACACAAAACAGACACCAGCTATACGATGATCTTAGGTCCAAGAATCGTAAAGAAAACTCACAACTGTGGAATTAAGCCAACAGTAGCTTCTAAGTGCATTGTATATTGCAGAACTCTCTGTTTGGTTTGCGGGCTGGGTGGTTTTAAAAGGTAAAGTCACACCTAACGATACAATACACACATTATAAATGAAGAGCACACTTAAAACTTTGCCTTAAAATGTATAAAAGCAAATTATGTAACCAAAATGTGGGCACTCCTGTAAGATTCTGAAATTTTGAAAAAAATGGATCAGCCGAAAAGAAAAGTTACTCCCGATTGTGACTTTAACTATTCTCCCTGTTCTTTCAGTCAGTAAAAAAAACTGGAGAAAGGCCTTTTCAAGAACAGAGGACAAAGACTCACCTACAGGCCTGCCTTTAACTTTAACCTAAAATGCCAAGGTAAAGGTCTTGTCACTCTGGTCCAAACAGCAGGGCTGCCCCTGTCAGTACTGTTTCATTTGACCTACCCTGTCCTGAGAAAGCAGCACAGAGATGGTGCTGACTTTTCAGGCAGGAATATAATGTTAATGTTTTATGCTGCTAGACCTCTGGCCACAAGCCTAACAACATTTGGAGGTGTAAGAAATTATAAAGTACAAATTGAATAAAGTATTCTAATTTTACTGAAGATAATGTATATTTATATGAAATCATGTTGTTAAAATGTCACTTCAGTAATTGATAGCACTGCTGAAGAAATATGAAAATATGTTACGGAATATGTTCAAAAGACAAATTGTACTTTATTTACTTATAAAAATTAAACTTAACAAAGAGCTTGCAAAAACATTTAAATCACAAAAAAAGGGAATTAATGGAAACTTAAGAAATTTAAGTTTAAATTAAAGTAGGACCAAGTAATTAACAAAGAGAAAAAAAATGTAGAATTCTATATTGCCAGTGTCATTCTACCTAAATACGTGCCAAACTGCAGCTAAAAGGAGGGGGGTATGTGTTCGTATGTGCATGAGAGAGAAAAGAGAAACTTGAGACCAGGTGGCGCCTGTGGCTCAAAGGAGTAGGGCACAGGCCCCATATGCCGTAGTTGGTGGGTTCAAACCCAGCCTCAGACAAAAAAACTACCAAAACAAAAAAAAAAAAAAAAAAAAAGAGAGAGAAACTTGAGATCTTCCTGAGGAATGCAGCTGCATAACCTTCACACTTAGGCTGTGCAGATCAGAGTTTCTTAGCCTTGGCACTGCTGCATATTGAGGTGGGTAATGCTTTGTTGTGGGTGCCATTCGGAGCACTGTAGGGTTTTCAGTGTCATCCCTGGTCTCTGCCCACTAGATGTAAATACCATCCCCCTTACTCCTAAAGTGACTACTAAAAATTTCTTGAGATATTGTCCAATGTTCCTGGGGGAGCAAAATTATCCTGGCTCGAGAACCAGTAGCTTGGACAACCTTAAATTTTTATAAACATGTAAAGAATATTTTAAAAATCTGTACTTTTAAAATGACAGTGATATAAAATTATCTATCTGCCTTATCTTTGGCATGAGTGCATTTCTGATCACATAGACATTCTTCATGGCAATTGTAAAATTATCTAACAATAGAAGAAATTTTGAGAAGTTCTAAAACAAAATAGGTCAAAGCCTGGTTCTTTTACTAAATGCAAATTCCTTCTTTTTCTTAACTTTCCCTATCTCAATCCTTCTAGAATCTACCTTTTGTTCCCCCATCATTCTGCTGAATCTCTCCGACCTCTTCCAAAACCTCTTTTCTGTTATTATCCTAACGGACTTCCCCATGAATGGAGTACTTTTGATCACATAGTCTTTATGTAATTCTTCAACAATTTTAACTCTTTACTCATTATTTTTTCTGCCATATCATTAAAAAATTTAACCACCAAATAAGATAAATTAGACATAAAAAAGGTAACCATATCAAATTTATCTGTATATAAAAAGCAAGATTTGGCCGGGTGTGGTGGATCGCCTGAACTCAGGAATCTGACACCAGTCTGAACAAGAACGACACCTCTGTCTCTACTAAAAAAAGAGAAAAAACTAGTCTGGCATTGTGGTGGGCACCTGTAGTCCCTGCTACTTGGGAGGCTGAGGCCAGAGAATCACTGAGACCATGATTTTGAGGATTATGTGAGCTATGATGCCACAGCACTCTACCATGGGACACACAGAGAAATTCTGTCACACACACACACACACACACACGCACACAAAACTGTCTCTGTATTTAAGTTTGGAATACATGATAAAAACTTTTAAATAAAGATAATGTGATACCAGAAACACTTCAGAATAAGACAAGAAAATGATTAGGAAACAACTGAGTCTTTAAAGACTGTAAGAAATCTAATTTTCAGTGTGGTACAAGGCAAGCTAAACATAGGTCCAATCTGCATATAAATCCTGACTTAATGGATTTATAAGAGATTGATAATAGAAGAAAGGTCCATGCTACTAGAATGCTGGGAGATTAAACTATGGTTAGTTTAAGGATAAAATTATAAGATGTAATGACATTCTTTTTGACACTATAGAAAAATGAGGGAGATTAACCAAAACCAAACAGAGGAAGAGCCATTCCTATGCTATCTAGATCCACAACTGGACAGCGTTACTGTGGCTCTACTCATACTTACAACTGGTCTAAAGTAAAATATCCAAACAATCTCCGCAATGTTTTATAACTTACTTTAAGCAAGGTACATTATCACGAAGCCCATCAGATGAACTGCTGCTGGTAGACGGGTGAGACTGGGGAGGGATGGGCTGAGGATTGGACCCTCCCACCGGTGTTGGCAGGGGTGGTGGCTGCTCACCCTCTGGAGATTCCACATCGTTTATCTCATATAACAATCGAACTTCAAGCATCTGTTACGAAAGTAAAGCAGTTTATCTACTCCCCCAAATTACAGTTTATACTCACACACATCAATCTCAGTGGAAAGAATATTTTTAAAGGTAAAATTAAGCAAGATTTCTGTAGGTAAGGATTTTTCAGAAAAGAAAATGTTTTTCACTCAACTTTTTTAAAATGCTTGTGTGAGAGTCCACATAAGTTTAGAATTTATGGTAGTTCTATTAATACCAAATTAGAGAACACTCACATTTGTATTTACTTTTGATAAATATATTTAATAAATATTATTTATTTATATTTTACATTTATAAAATATAAAACATACTTAAGGATTTAAACATTCGGTAAAAAGATAAGCAAAAATTATGTTAGTTTTCCCAAAAGAGAGATGGCAGTGTACACACTGAAGTGTTTTCAAAAATTCTATGCACAACTGACCATAAATTGTCAGGTCTTGTAAATAATCCACAGATTTTAAAATGTCAGACAAGATGACACTAAAAATAATTAATAGACTGTTACCGGAATTACTTCTGTAATCACTTCCTGTTTGCTGAATCTATAAATAATGACGTGAGCGGAAACTCCAGCTATGCACAGCATTCTACTTTCTGGACACCAGGAGATGATCTGAATGGCATACGGATCTTCATCTACAATGTCTGTGTTTGGCCTGTCGTCTTTATTTCTTGACTTTTCAAATACTTTAGATGTTTTTAGTTTATATAATACTTGTAAAGTTACTACAAAAAAGATAACATGTCAGACGTTTTAACATAAAGGAGATCAAATACAATGTAATATTTATCAGTCACACTAAGTACACAGAAAACAGCCTATGCTTATTCACACCATATTTTCATTTCTCTGTCTACATTAGAGTAGTCTATTATACATTTAGAGTGTTAATTCATTGCACTAATTACCCAACCAAATGAATACTGATTGTATTCATTAAAAAATAACCACTATCACGATGGATTTAAGCAACTGAAAAAATGTGTAACAAAAGATTTGGGGGAAAAAATGTATAAATACAATGAAAATAATATAGGAATTTTTTTTCCTAATATAATTTTCTATGTATTTTTTCTATACAAAGTCCAGTATCAATATTATTAAACATGCCTGCATGGCGAAACAAAACATATCCTGGGTTAACTGGATTCCCACTGAATACCTGCCACATGTGTTTCATAACCATTAATCATTAAAGGCATCTTTTCCTTTTTTGCTGCTATGTAGCCACCAGATATATTTCACACAGAGAACATGCACTTTTGAGATTAAGTTTGGAGTTGGCATTAAAATTATTCTAGAAATTTCTGTTAATGTGGAATATATTCTTGCTTCTTCTATCTTTGAGTCAGGAAGAGAAGATTTGATGAAATATTGAAGGAAAATATTTAAATATGTTCACTGAGCATTATTCTTGAATTACTAATATCCTTAAGATTATTTTGACTATATTAAAAATTCTAAACTGGGTGGCGCCTGTGGCTCAAAGGAGTAGGGTGCCAGCTCCGTATACTGAAGGTGGTGGGTTCAAACCTGGCCCCAGGAAAAAAAAAAAAAAGAAATTCTAAACTTATGTACTAGATAAATTAAGCATAAAATTTACAGCCTCTAAATTTCAAATTAAATATTTGTTATTCAATTATTACAAAACAGGAAATATAAAAGCAACGACTAAGTAACATATAACAAGTCATACTCAAAGTACTTACTTGCAGAAGCATCCCAGAACTTAACTGACCCATCTGCATGCCTATAAAAAGCAAGTAAGTTAAAATGTAATAAATAAAAGAAAACTACATTCCTTTCTTACTTAATTGTATATAGTTATTTTAAAGTCATCAAAATTAGTAAAAGGTTAAAAAAAATCAGGATAAACTGGTAGGTTCTTGATAACTTATTTCTTACTACGTTACAATATAAAGGAAAGCTCTACCTGTCCAAAAAATCAAAATTAATACAGTCTTAATCAATTATTTTTAGCTATTATTGATTTACTTGGTGAAAGTAGACTTACTCACCCTGTGATAATTATTTCTGGGTAACTCTGAGCACCCAAGCCCCAATTACCTCCATTGATGGGCCACTCCTACAAGAAAAAGATGAGTCTATGAAGCAACTGGCAAGCATACTGTAGATACATATGCACATGTAATATAAATCCAACTTACATATAAATCTAGACTAAAAACAATGATGAATTAAACAATATAACAAAACAGTGAACAATATATTTTGCTTCCAGAAATGATTTTCTATATATTTTCTATAGAAAGATATCAATATTATCAAACACTCAAGGTAGTAAATACATATTACTAAAATGTAACATTAAGTACCTTTTTGCTGTAACCTTGACGTTTCTGCCTCGCTCCAACTGAATAAAGTGCAGGAATAAGGTCCACAGGGCAATCAGCAAAGTATTCACAACATGTAACCGGGGACTCATGTATGCTCAAAGGATAGGGATTCTCAAATATAGGGTATCTTTAACAACAGGGAAAAGGAAAATTTTTCTTAATTTAATGAACTGTAGTAGGATTACTACAAAAATAAACACTTAAAAATCTACTTTCTATCACAGAAATCAAATTGATTTAATTTATGTAAGTAGGTTAAAAAAAGCTGAGGTCTTTTATAGTAAAAAATATTCAGTTAGAAAAATAAATAGAAACACTGTTGTTGCAACAACATACCAAGTGCCACACACTAGGTGAAGTATTTTAAACATACATATTGATCTCATTGACTTCTTGCATCAAACCTTTGACATAGGCATTTTACTGAAGAAAAGAGGCTTAGAGAGAATCATCTTCCAGAGACATGCCAGCTAGCAAGTAGTTAAAACAGAATTTAAACTGTTCTCTTAACCATCAGGCTTTTAATAACAGACATCTCACATCCTTCCACCAGCAGGGCTAATACAAATTTTTAATTCTTTTCTATTAGTATGAGATCTAGTTCAATATTTAATCCAGAAAGTTATCTTGTTTTTGCAAGAACTTAAAATTTGTCTATAAATATTTTCTAGATATAAATTTACTTTATTCTGTAAAGCAAAAATAATGCTTTCGAAACTCTTGAAATTAAAATAGAACCCTATCAAAATAAACAATAATATTTCTCTTCTGGTTTTAAAGTTCTTAGAAAGAGAACAGTTACTTAAAAATGTCTAGAAAACCCGGCAACCGGCTAAAAATATATATAAAGCATGCAAAGTGGCTAAACTACAAAATTAGATCAGTCTACTACTGAAAATCAGTTTCTAAAAATAGAGGGGAAAAACTGCAGAAAATTCCTTGATGGACTATAAAATGAACCCAACTATCACTACCCTTCCTTCCCTAAGCAGAAGATAAAACCCAGACAACATGCATTAATAAAAATGACAAAATGGCAAGCAACTTGTTTCTCTGTAGAACACGGTGTTTCCTTAGCTCAGTGATTCCATTATTACTATACACTTAATTGACACTTTATTACTATACACTTAATTGACACCGTATCACTATACACTTAATTGACACTGTATCACTATACACTTAATTGGCACTTTGCTAAGTAAAACGCCTAGTCACAGGATACTCCACAGTATTTTCTTTGACTTAAATGTATCTCAGGCTAGATGACATGTGAAAAGTCTCAATTATCTGAAAAATTTGCCTAACGGGGAAATAAAAGAAAATCACATTAAGAAAAATTTATTCTAGGACTGTTACATAGAAATAATATTTTCAAATGGCCTTTTTATTTTAACAAAGAAGAAAAACCTCACTATTATTACAAATAGCTAGAGCCAAACTGAAGAGAATTCAGGATGGCCCAGCCCAGAGATCGGGTAAATAACACGGCTGGCCCACTTCAGGTTTTCTCAAAGCCAGTGCTTTGCATTTTGGAACAGACAATCCTTATTGTGGAGGACTGCCCTGTGCACCGAGGATTTGCTGCAGCATTTGTCTTCCACTCACTAGATGCCAGGAGCAATATCCTCAGCCCCAATTAAAGATCTCTACAGACTTTGCCAAATAACACCTGGGGGGCAAAATCACCCTTGACTGTGAAGCCCTGGAATACCGAATGGGTTAACTCAATTGAAATCATGCTTAATAACTACTTCTCAGGATAAATAAAACAAGGAAAAAAATAGAACAAGGAGCTTACAGTCAAAGAATTTATAAGTAAACATATAATCATCTATGATAGGCAAAGCAGAATATAGCAAATATCATGAAAAGTCACAAAAAAGCTATGGGAGAGATTTGTAGGTCTGATGGATATATCTGGTAAAGAGAGGATAGGAAAGGCTTAAAAAAGAAAAGAAAGCTGACTTTGAAAGTGACGTGTATTTTTAGTGGCAGTGTAGTGCTACTGGGAATTAGATAAGAGAAGACAGGGGCGTGTGAAGTCTGCAGAACACACAATTAGGTTTTCCCAGGAAAGAGAGCACAGTGAGATACTAGGCTGGGAAAAAGCCCCGAATTCCTACTGTTGGGAGTAGCAAACTGGGGAGGTGTTTTACATCAAAAAACAATAGCTAACCATGGTTTAAAGAGGACAGGACCACAATTGGTGCTGCACTGAAATCTGATCTGACAATGAGACACACAACACACTGTATAGAGAGTGAACAGAGGTAGAGAAACCATCTAAACCATGATGGGATCAATTTTGGACATGCTGATTTTGTGTGGTCCCAGGATTCTAGTGTCAAATTGAATGAAGCATATAAAATTTCAAAAATACAACAAATTTTCACTTAAAAAAGTAAATTCCATGGGATTAAACAACAGAGAAATTTGAGAGAGAATCAGAAATGTGGGGTCAAGGTTATGGATATACATATAGGGCTTAAACTATACTAGAAGGTTTTTGGTTTTTTTTCAACCGCATACTGATAAGATTTGCTCACCAAATTTTCTTACCCATTTTGTGCAAGGTCTATAAGTACTAAATCCTTTTCTAGAAGAACCACCACAGCATATGGTTCTTGAAAATCTAGAATAGGAGAACAATGCATGAATAATAGTTTTCAAAAAGTAAACAGACAGCATATTAGATAATAAACATTTCTTGCTTGGCTTTGTTTTATTTTTTGTATTTATAATGTTGCTATTACAATACTTCGTGCATGTTTTAAAAAATTAAATCTAGTATATTTTAGATGTGATAAATCTGTTTAATAATCCACTCAAAATTATTTTGCCTTTGTAAAAATGAGTAAAACAAGAAGCTCACAGTAACTTCTATGATATTGGAAATTCTAAGGCCGTACATACATAACAAAACAAAAATTTAAATCTGAACAACTCAAGAACAATTTTCATTACTTGCTGTCATAAGAACATAACAGAATTCTACTATAATACTTTAATATCTTTCTTGGATGTTTTATATGTGCCTGTTAAGGGCTTGTATCTTAACACCTGAATGAGTCTGAAATGAAGTAAAAAAGATTCAAATTTAAATTCCTCTTGAATCGTATATACTAGCTGTGATGGTTAATTCTATGTGTCAACATGTCTACGCTATGATGCCCCCAACTGTTTGATCAAACACCTGCCTAAATGCTGGGGTGAAGATATTTTTTAGAAGTAATGAACATTTAAATCTGTACCCTTTATGTAAAGTAGATTGCCCTCTGAATGAGTGGGCCTCATCCACTCTGAGGAGGGCCTTAACGGCATCAACTAAAGTTTCCCAAAGAAGCAATTCTGCCTCAAGTTTGCAATATGGAAACCGTGCCTGAGATGTCAACCTGCAGATTTTTCACTCCAGGGAACACCACCAACTCTTGAATTTCCAGCCTGCTAGCCTGCTTAGCAGATTTTAGACTTCTCAGTTCCCACAACTGAGTGAGCAAATTCCTTTATATTCACCGATCTGTCTTCTATAGGTTCTGCTTCTCTAGAGAATCCTAATTAATATACTACTGTTCTACAGAATTTCAAAATGTTTCTGACATGGATGGTATTGTACATCCATCAAAGGTGCTTACTACTACTATCTAATATTAAATAATACATTTTAAAACTTCTGAGATAAAATCTGTGAGGTTATGAATGCCGCACCTCTTCCCCGTAAGAATTAGCACAGCAGGACAAGAAAACCACTTAGACAGCATATAGGTCTTTGCTGTGAACATCAGGTGTCTATATAGAGTCTGAATTTTAAAGGTGCGAAGCTGACCGTTTGGATATGGCGTTTCACAGAGTGTTAGAAAATCCACAATTGAATAGTCCATTTCTAGCACAGCAGTGCTTTTCCCGTGCATCACCGTCAAGCAGGGTCTTCTTCCTACAGTGTCATATGACAAACCTCCTGACAAAATGATAAAAGGTTCCCTGGAAGTAAAACACATAATTGGGATTAAAAATAGCATAGTGAAGATGATTTTCTTGCTGAAACAGTTTTTTTTTAATTTAATGAAATAACAAAATCTTAAATTCTAACACTTTTATACACTACAACAATGAATAGTCCTGTGTAGAGTTTATAATTGGATTAGGTAAAACCCAGGTGAATTTCTGAAAATTAAGCTAAAATATAAATGAACGTTGAGTACATTGGACTCCCATACCTTCCTTTGGTCTTTAAAACTTTGTTTCATCCCTTATATAAAACTGTCATACAATTCTCTCAGGGTTTCTGCTAAGTATCTTGAATGTACTGCCTTGACATCAATGCTAACTAGTCCTCCAGAGAAGTTCCCAGAGAGAATCTTAATGTCTTGAGGCATCCACTGCAAGTAATGAATTAGCTTCCCAAGGATGCATCAGGAATTGTACTAACCACCAATCACCCTCGAGAGAAAAGAGAGGAGTCATTCAAATCATTTCCTCTAGGCCTTGATTTTCTGCTAGAACTGTGGCTGCTACACTTTTCAAACCACAGCCCCTCTGCGCTCATATCAACTGTCGGACTGACAATTCGAATTTGTCAAACAACTATGTTAATCTAATTTTCCTACTCTTTCGACATTAGTCATTATTAAATCTAAGTGATTTAAGTAGTCTGATTTTTAAAAATTGGATTCCAATTTTTTTCATACATTACAGTATGCAGGTTATTTCTGTATCTCTGATTTGTCTATCCATTTTGTGGTGGTGAAGTTATTTACAGATGATTTTAAATATTCTGTATATGATTTCCTTTAATCTCTTCAATTACAGTTTGTCTGAGACTCTTTTATAAGAGTCTTTTATAAGTCTAAGCCCAGTATATCTATCTTCCTCCTCACCCATTATTTATGAAGTTATTTCCTTCTTTCCCAGTTATTGAATTTTTAAAATCTTTCCATCTTCTATAAGCAGTAGGTATGTAATGTGTTAGTTCCAGAGCTAAATCACCCACAATTAAATCTTAGCTCTGGTTTTACTTTCTGTGTGATCTTGAACAAGGTGCTTAATTTAACTTCTCTGGGCATAATTTCTACATGTATACAAGGGTCATCACGAAAGTTTTGAGATAGACAAAAATCAAGAAAACATAAAATATGTACAGACAAACAAATGAAGCCCTCCCAGCAACACCAATAAGCCCAGCAAGCTGTAACCTGCACCAGTGAATCAGAAACTATGCTGTCAACTGTGGTGCTTGGAAGAGAAATGGACCATAACATGATCTGTCTCAAAACTTTCATAGTGACCCACATAAAATGAAGATAAAGCGATAAGTACCTAATCACAGATAATTCTTAAATTAGATAGTACAACCTTAGTAAGAGTTACTGTATTATTACTGCCAGTATGATCAAATCATTCTTAGCACCTATTGTGAAACTTCCCCTGAGTGTATGTGGAAAAAAAACTTGAAATTGCTAAACATATTTACTTTTTTCTAAAACAAGAATAAATAAACTTCCTTAAAGTTTAACAAGTATGTAATTTATAAGCAAATATAAATATTATGGCATATAACTAAATTGTCTTTTTAATCCTCATTTTACATATTTAGAATTTATACATTTATATATGAGCTTATGTAATATTTTAGTAAAACCACACCTGTATACATACTGCCTTTCGTCCTTGCTCTATTCTTTCCATAGCATTTATCTCTAATAACTTTATTTTGTTTGCCTCAGGCCAGTTAGCAAACAGGAACCATTTGCAGGTCACACTCTGAGTGGCACTAGTACGCACAAAGTGGAGACTTACTCTATCACTACTGGGTAGTTAGCAGAGAACGTAAGGATGTTATCGAGGATGTCACTAGAACGGCCCATGCCCCTTCTCACTCTCTGAAACCCCATATCACCACAACTGAGTGTCCGGGTAGGGAGGCCGAGCTCCAAAACTACTTTTTGACAAAAATAGAAAATTAATGCTTAGTCATGAAAAGTTTTCTTCTGGGTCCTTTTTGAGCTGAACAGGGAAATAACAGGGTAGCATAACAGTAAATCATTATGCTAATGACGTGCAGTAGAGAGGATATCAAAAGCACACTTGGGTTGGAACTGAAGCTTTGGAAGCAGACATCTGTGTTCAAATCCCAGCTCCATTACTTTGTATTTATGAAGACTGCACTGTTTGAGCCTTAGTTTTCTCTTTAGTAAAATCTATCTACCTCCTAAGATTATTGTGAGGAATAAATGTTAACAATATATAAATTGGTTATGACAGTGCTCAGTACAAAATATATTCTCTCAATATACCTATTATTTTACTAGCACAATGAACCTGATAATATTCCAGTGTCTGTCTAGTTCAGATTTGTACCTTTGTCAATTTTAAGAGGACCGCCTGGAATTAGGCTGGCCATCTCCAAACCATGTTTCCTAGTGACCAACCAAAATATTCCTTCATTAATAAAGATAAAAAGATTTAGGCCTGGGGGCATTGCCTGTGGCTCAAAGAATAGGGTGCCAGCCCCATATATTGGAGGTGGCGGATTCAAACCCGAACCTAACCAAAAAAAAAAAAAAAAAGATTTAGGACTGGGAGAAAAATTAATAAACAAAATATAGCTAAACAAGTTCCTATTCATTTAAAGACCAATTAATAATAATAATAATAATATAACTTTGTCGAGTGGTTCATGTAGTATAGTATCAAAAAAAAATTCTGGTTTTAACATAATTTTATGTTAAATATTTTGTCTACATTATTTTTGTGATGCTAAATTAAACTGTAATAAGAATGGGGCCTAATTTATGTCCCTTTCGGTTAAAAAAAATGTTAAATCCAAAATCATTTTCTTTGAATAGATCTTCTAAATTGCTGTGCAATATACAACAGCAATGCTCAGAGCATGGTCTGTGGACTCCTAGGGCTTACCAGGACCCTTTCAAAAGGTGTGAGTCAAACCATTTTTACTATGCAATTAAGACATTACTTGCCTACTCATTGTGTTGATATTTCCACAAAAGAAGCAAAAGGTGGATAAAGTCTCTTAGCATCTCATCAGTAATCACAGCAGGGGCACATAACTGACTAGTAACTGCTATCTTCATTACCACACATTACAGCCCCCCCCCTTCTGAATGCCCTAAAGGGAGTACTAAATGACTAATTTTAAATCTTGATCCTTGACACATCTGTGTGGAGAAAATAAGAAGTAAACCAATGCACTTCTGCATACATAGTTAGACGGCTGTGTCTAAAGACACATATGTGCAATCCTTTGAGTGAATCAAGTGAACTAGCTGCTATTATTTTTGCTTCAAAGAATGACAAACTATTGCTATTTAGGGTTAGATAATTGACAGGCATTTTCTCCAAAATTCATTAAGACTATCATTTTTAAGAAAAACAACATAAATTATTTATTTACAGTGATTAAATTTAAGCTTACAGGTAAAAGTCACAATTCTGGAAAACTAGTAGAGACAAATTTTTGGCAACAACCTTCAGAAGCCCAGTCAGGAAGAAACAGAACTCCTGAATAGACTTTCATCAAACACCAACATTACAACAGCAATAAAAAATCTTCCAACTAAAAAAAGTCTTGGACCAAGTTTTACACCTGAACTTTACCAACCTACCAAGAAGAACATGTACCTATACTACAGAAATTATTCCTTAACATTAAAAATGATGGAACCCTCCCTGACACATTCTATGAAGCCAGTATTACCTTGACACCAAAGCCAGGAAAGTATACCAGTATAAAAGAAAACTACAGACCAATATTCTTTATGACAATAGAGTAAAAAATTCTCAATAAAATTTTAGCAAACCAAATTCAGTACCGCATAAAATAAATTCTTCACCATGACCAAATGGGCTTCACCTCAGAGATGCAAAGATGGTTCAACAATATGCAAATCTACAAACATAATTCACCAAATAAATAGATGCAAAAACAAAGACTATATATAATCCTTTCAATTGATATGGAAAAAGCATTTGACAAAATTCAGTACCCTTTCATGATAAGAACATGATACCTTCCCAAGTAGCAACAAAGACAAAATACCTAGGAATATACTTAACAAAGGGAGTGAAAGAACCTTATTGGGAGAATTATGAAACACTGAGGAAAGAGACCACAGAAGACGTGAACAGATGGAAGATATACCATGCTCAAGGGATTTGCAGAATCAATGTTGTTAAATGGTTTTTATATTTTTTATATAGCTGAAAAAAATCATAAAGGAATATTTCATGATGCATGAAAATTATACAAAGTTCAAATTATAGTATCCATAAAGAAAGTTTTACTGGAACACAGCTGCATTCACTTATTTATGTATTGTGTATGGCTGCCTTGGGGCTACGAAAGCAGAGTTGATTAGTTGCAACAGAGAGCATCTAGGTAGCAAAAGCTAAAATATTTCTCATCTGGCTCTTTTCAAAAATTTGCCATAATAGGTGTTATGATGAAAAGGAATAAAGTAATCTCTTAGATGTGATCCTCCATATGTGACTAAACTGCCACATTTAACTATTATAATACTCACTTTTATTTTTTCTTTATGAATGACATAACAATTGTAGATATCTATGGGCACAATGTGATGTTTTGCTAAGTACACACATAGTTAATGATCAAATCACATAAATTAGCATGCACTTCACCTTAAACATTTGTCACTTCTTTGTGGTAGGAGAATATGAAATACTCCCTTCTAGTAGGACCTCTGTAAGTTGACGACCCAAGATACTATAACAGACTGGTCAACATAATGGACTAGGCCTACTGTACTGATACTATTTGTGATGTATGCCTGGTTATGATTTAGGTAAATTTAGGCCAACTTAAAGAGGTGGTCAATGCAAAGAGGTAGTCGACTATGAGGTTCTACTATATTTTGATATTTGTAACATCTCTGTTGTTGACTATAGTCATTGCACTGTGCAATGAAATTCCAGAACCTACTCCTCCAACTAATTTGTACCCACTGACAATCTTCTCCCCACCATTCTCTCCTCTGTCCTTCCCAGTCTCTGGCAACCACTGTTTTATTCAATACTTCTATGAAATCAACTTTTTTAGATTCCAATCTAAATGGCTGTGGCACTCCCTTAATCATTTCTTCTAAGATGAGTCTAGAGGTGATGAATCTGTTAAGCTTAGTTTGTCTGAAAAGGACTTTATTTCTCCATTTCAGAAGGATAGTTTTGCTGAGTATAGTATTCTTAGATGGTAGTTTCTTTTCTTTTTCTTTTAGCACTTTGAGTACGCCATCCTTTTTTTTTTTTTTTTTTTTTAATATATGGAACGCTTCACGAATTTGCATGTCATCCTTGCACAGGGGCCATGCTAATCTTCTCTGTATCGTTCCAATTTTTAGTATATGTGCTGCCAAAGCAAGCATGCCATCCATTCTTTACTGTCATGCATTTAAACTGAGAAATCTACTGCTACTCTGATATAGATTCCTTACATGTGATTTACAGAACTTTAGAATTCTCTCTTTTGACTTTGATTTTTGACAGCTTGATTATAATGTATCTTAGATAAGACATTTTTAAATTAAGTCTGTTTGGGTACCCTTGAGCTTTCTGGATCTGGATATCAATATCTCTCCCAAGACTTGGTAAGTTTTCAGCTATTATTTTGCTAAGTATGTTCTCTGTGCCTTCCTCCATCTCTTTTCCCCCTCTATAAAGAATATGTGAATATTTGCTAATTTACTGGTGTACCATAAATCTTATAAGCTTTCCTCATTCTTTTTTATTTCATTGTTTTCCTCTGACTGGGTTATTTTAGCAGACCCATCTTCAAGTACAGAAATTCTTTCTTCTGTTTAATCTAGTCTGTTGTTAAAGTTCTTGATTATATTTTTCATTTCATTTCATTTCCATTTCAGTTCTTAGATTTGTTTGTTTTTCATTTATATCTCTTTGTTGAACTTCTTATTCACATCACATTATTTTTTCTGATTTGGTTGAATTGTTTCTCTGTATCTTGCTGAGTTTCCATTAAAAAATAAATCTTTATGTTGAATTCTTTCTCAGGGATTTTGTAAATTTCCTCTTCTTTGGGGTCTGTTATTAGAGAATTATTAATGTCCATTAGGGGTGTCAGATTTCCTAGGTTTTCATGATTTATATGTGTCTCTATAATGAAATCTGAAAATTTGGTGAAAGAGTTACCTCTTCCAATTTTATGGAGTAGCTTTCGTAAGGGAAGGCTTTATCCTGTATGTGGATCCTAGTATATCAGCTGGGTAGGGTACATTGACTTGGTTCTAATAAACGCAGTAGTGCAATCTCCATGTAGCTTCTTTGGCTGCAATCCATGTCAGTGAGTCTCTGAGTGCCTCAGTAGCCTAGGCTGTGAGTAGGTGGTGGCTGGTGGTAGGGGTATGGCTTGATTTGAAGTGAGCTCGCCTGATTGGTTCTCAAGCCAGTTTAGGGTGAGCTTACTGTCTGGGCTCCAGTGCTAGATTCACACCTGGTTCTGGTCCTAGGGTGAGCAGTTGGGGGTCATGGCGTTGCAGTTATCTGTGTGAGCACAACAAAGTGACAGTGGCTTCTCAGCTGAGAGACACAATGGCTACTGGTCCTCAGAGCAGAAAGGATTCCAATATTGACTCCAGTCTGTAACCACTGGTTATTAGAACTGGCCCACATTTCTTTTTAATCTCTTCTTCCAATCTATTTCAACTCAGCCCTATTCTCCTTTGAGAAAAGGCACAAGGCTAAAATAAAAGCATAAGGTTGCTTTTATTCTTTTCTCCTTTACCCTCTATATCCTTTGTTGAGATCCAAAAGATATATTGCATTCAAACAATAGGTTAAATGAACTCCAAGGAGTATCAATTCTGTCAAGGGGTGGTGTGATTTTTGGCACAGAGTGATTCGACTTATTTTTCAGGGTCCTCATTTATAACATAGATGTTTAACAGGTCAAAAGACAGTTGTGATGAATTAATTGAGATGATCATGCATGCAAAACATTTTACACAGTGTTTGGTACATAACAAACTTTATAAATGTTTGGGAAATAATTTTTTTATTAGGTAACACTCTGCCATCAATTAATTTGTGTCATATTTGTCCTATGGAAAAGGAATTAAAATAGGAAAAATATGGTAGCAAAAAAGAAAAAAAAGAAAGAAAAGAAAAACAGGAAGGAAACTAGGAAAAATATGTTTATATTACAACATAAAATGAATTGTTTAAACATTTAAACTAACAGTGCTAATTTATATTCTGAATTCCTATCTATTCATTTTAACTAATATTGATTAGTAACAGAGGCAATAATCCAGGGAACATTTTTCCCCGTGTATTTCACTTTTCATTCTTGCATTGTATCAATATGAGATCCAGGTTTCTTCAAGGTGGCAGCCATACTTTTTCTTTTCATAGAATTAAACATAAAAATTTAAAATGTTTTGCCCCTTTTTAGGCATTTATAGGTATAGGAACTTCACAATGATGTGCAGGTCAACAACAGACCACATGTACAATGGTGGGTCTATAAAATTATAATACTGTATTTATACTATACCTTTCCTATGTCTAGATGTGTATAGATATATACTTGCTGTTGTGTTACAACTGCCCACAGTATATAGTACAGTAACATTATGTACAGATTTGTACCCTATGAGCCACAGGCTGTACCACATAGCGTAGGAATATAGCAGGTTGAACCATCCAGGTTTGTGTAAATATACTCTATGATGCTTGCAACACTGAAATCACCCAACAACGCACTTCTTAACACACTTCTGTCTGTGTGATCAAAATATTTGCGCATCTATGATTTAATGGAAGTAACTGAGACTACAGATTCTCAAAATGTGGTCAAATCTGAGTTTTGCCACTTACTGTGGCAGCAAGTCGCTTAACTTTAAGTTCTATGCTTTCTCTAAAGCTGATAATTTTTTTGAATGGTGATCATTTCTGAATAAAAACTAACTTCTTTAATGCTCTGGAACACAAAACCCTAAGGAGTTCATCCAAGTAAGTGCTCAAAAATTCAATCCCAGTGGAAGTTGCTTCTTGTTGAAAATATACCAGTGGCTCTGAACCTTAGAGTATATTACAATTTCCTGTAGGCCCAGTTAAAACTCAGACTGCTAGGTCCTACCATCTGAGTTTATGATTCAGTAGATCATGGGTACAATCTGAGAATCTGTATTTCTAATAAATATATGGACCATAATTTGAGAACCACTGCCATTATAAATTCATTCTCTTGCATAGACAAAATTAAATAACTTCACATAATCTCCTGGAGAACCAGAATATAAATAAAAGATTCGCTTTGTAGGTTAAAAAGATGTGGAATTTTTATTGAATTACTTTAAAGTTTTTCTTGCCTTATATTTTTAAATGTACCATTTGATACATACAAAAAAGTATATAAAAACACATAAACTTTAAAAATCATCTTTTTCTCTTAAGTCATATAATGACAATGTCTTAAAATACAACTGGCAAACTTCCTTCTATAGTAAACCATACCTATTTTTAGAATTGCCAAATAGTCTTATGATGAGATTTAATTTCTGAAGAATATATACAATTTTCATAAGTAACACATATAGTATAAATAAACAGGTTAAATTTTAAAGTTTTCTTTTAATTACTTATTGCACAAATTATCACCAGTGAATAAAAACACTCCTGCTACTAAAGGGTATATGAAGTCTATGAAGAGTGACAGGAAAGATAATTCAAACTTTCCAAAATACACAGTAAAACCACTCAACACAGAAAGTACACAAATGAGTCTATTATTCAAAATTCACCAATTTTCCTTCTTTCGTTAGATAAAGAAAGCATAAAATTTAAGACTGAATTAGATAAAAGTAGGTCTTTAAAAACAACAATAAGATAGCCTTCCATGCCATTTGCTTAATTACATATGATGAATACTGGCAATGAAACAAAATCTTACCCAGATCTAGTTGTTTTGAATTCCACCTTGAGGATAGGTTTGCAGGGTTCTGGCTTCTTCCCATCCTTTAACTGCTTTCCTAAAATATATTTTCCTGAATTAAATTCTAAAATTCTAAGTTAATCTAAATTCTTACATAGTTTGTAAATCAAAGTGAAATATAATAAAATCCACCATGAAATATATTAAAAGTGATTTTAAAGAAGTATGCAATACAAAATAAGATTTTTCAAATGATCAAGCAAAGGTTCTCTTTGAAATTCAGTGCTGAAAAGCAATAAAAAGAATAACTTAGTATCATTCACCAATATGTAATAAAATTCCAGTAGGAGAAACTGATAGTTTCCCCTATATTCTTATTTGCAGATAAGCAACATAGACTTTCAATTTGCTAAATGAGTTCAAGTTTCAAAATAGCAAGCTTTGAGAAAAATAAACTTTTATCACATTTTCACAGGCTGTAAAATTAAACCTATGTTAATAAACTCATTTATATTTATTTTCCTAAAGTAAAATCCATCCACTGTAATGTCCAAAAGATTGTTAAAATACATCAACCTCTGTAAAACGTGCCAAAGACTTCCTTTTGTCAAAGAATTTTGATTATTTTAAAATTGTTTGTTGTTTTCAGTTATTTATTTCTGCATGTTCATTGTAGAAACTATAAAAACTCAAAAAAAAAAAAAAAGAAAAGAAAATAACTGTTTTCAATTTTTTGGAGATGAGTCGCTTTTTAACATTATTGTATTTCTTGATTGGCATATCACTGACCACGCCTCCACCTCCACACCGCTGTCCCCTGTCGTTCCTTTACTGTTCCTCCAGGGTACTTACCACATTCTATTGTCCTTGACATTTTACTTTTTTGTTTCTTATCTGCTTCACTAAAAGGAATGTAAGTTCTAAGAAAACAAGTTTTTTAGTAAGCATGTTTTCTGTTGTTATATCCCTGGTAAAAAAAGCATTGTTTTGCATATAGTGGGCACTCAATTTAAACAGTGAATAAACTAATGGTTATTTCCTTAGGATAAATTCCTACTAAAAGTATGAGGGTAAAAGTACATTCCAGGCAGGTTGTGGCAATTCACACTTCTGTCAGCAGTTAAGGACAGTATCTTGTCACACCCGTTCCCAACACTGATTTTGTTATTATTGTCATAAAGTAAGGTGGCGAGGCAGTCCCAATTTTTAATAATTTGTCCCGCATCCCGTGGTGTTTTAAAAAAGTCCCAATTTTTGGAAAGAATGCACGACAAGCTAGGGAACGGCAGGAGAACGGGAAGGGAATATACAGTTTTCACTGCCATGTGGCTATTTCGCCAGGATATGAATTTTATATTATTTTTATTAATTTTATAATGTTAAACTTTAATAATAATTGCTGAGAACTGATCTTATTGAGAACTACTTATCAAAGTTTGCATTGTTTATCAATTGTTAGAATTTGACGAGAAATATGCCAAAGAATAAAATAATACTATACATAATCTTTTTATATATTATATTTGTAAACTGTACTTATGTTGAAATTTAAAAAAAATTACAATACTAATTTTGCGTTCTATGAAAATTTTTGTTGCTCCATAAAGACCAAATTTTTAATTAAGAACACCCGCCCTGATGGTCTCCCACTTTACCAATGTTAAAATCTGGTCACCTTATTGTAAGGGGAAACTTTAACTCATTTTAATTTGCATTGTTTTAATCCCGCACTGGTCATGTGTATTTCTTCTTTTAAAAATGGTTTGCTATCCCCTGACAATGCTTCTATTACTTATCTTCCTTGTAGTCAAAACTGAATTTTATATTCAAAGCTTATTAACATTGTGACCATGAAGTATGTTGCAAATACTTTCCTACTGTCCCTTGTCACTGAATTCCTACAATTTTGTTTAAACTGTACAGAAGTACACATTCAAATAATTGAGTTTTTCAGTCTTATTGTTAGGTAATTGCCCCTGAAAAGCCCCTTCCTGCTTTCAAACAGACCAAGACTAGTTGTCTCACTCTTAAAGTTACAGCTCCTTTCAACAGGGAGTTGCCCACTAAACATCTCCTTTTCTCCCAATTGTAAAACTTACCTCATCTCCCTGTCCCAACGTCCCACTGAAAATATCAAATTTATGGTCTGCCCCTAACGGCTCTTCCCGCCAGAGCAGTAACTCCCATATTGGCTATTCTACCATCCTGTCACCATTCTCAGACTTCTCCTAACTGAACCTATATAAGAGTACACTTTTCTTTTGATCTCTCTCTCCTTTCTCTCTCCCCCTCTCCTCCTCTCTCTCTTCTTTTTCTCTCCTCTTCTCTCCTCCCTCCTCCTTGGTGCTGCTCTGCAACATCCCTCCCTGGCCAATAAAGACCTTTTGTACAAGCCTTGGTGGTCTGTGAGATCTCTGCTGGTCGAGTGCCGCCCTTTCACTTAAGATGTTCCCAGTTAAGAAAACATCAAATCCTAAAGCATTAATTCTTCCAAAATTAAGTTATAAATTTAATGTAGTTAGAATCCCAACCGTTCTTCTTGAAGGTAGACAAAATGACCTTAAAATTCTAATGGTGGACTAAATGTCCTTCAACAGCTATGGAAACTGCCAAAGGACCTTAACTTCCCAAAGAGAGTGAGGACCTCGGTGAACTCATGAAAATACTAGCCTAACAACTAATGTTAACCATTACAGAACTCTGACATTAACTAAAACCACAAAACAAGATGAAGATCATCTACCCAAAGAAACTACTGAATCAAAGTAAAATGGGGGTAGGGGAAGGGAACTGGGGGTTGTGACATTTTTTTTTTCCACCTCGTAGCATTTATTTATTTGTGTGTGTGTAGTTTTTTTTTTAAGTCAAATACACATAGATCATGAATACATTCATGCATATGTGGGGTACAATGTGCTGATTTTTTTTAATACAATCTAATGTGGTTACATTAAACCAATCAAAATAGCTTTCACCTCATTTACTTGATTACTATGCCAAAACATCCATGTTCTACATTTCACAGACTTGACTTGTACCCTTGTCATATGTTCCATAGGTGTGATCCCGCCTTTTACCCTCCCTCTGTCAAACCTTCCCCTCCTCTCCCCTCCCAGTCCACTTCTCTCCATCATCTTGGGCTATAGTTGTATTCTATTTTTTACAAGAATGTGTGAGTAAATGTAAGTAGGTTTCATAGGAGTACTGAGTATATTGGATACTTTATCCTCCATGACAATCTTTAATGGAGCCCTATTCTCAGTCCCTCATTCCTCAGGTCAGTGGCAAGCTAGTCCTGAAAATGCAGTAGAAAAATCAGCCAACAGAGGGGATTGAAGTTCTTTTAGAGCTTCAGGAGAACAATCGATATTTTATCTGAATTTATAGCTCCCTAGAAAACCCTAATCCCCAAGTGCTGTGGCTATTTCATTTGCCTTAGAACTCAGATAAGGGAGGCAAAATCCTACCTCCAGGACACTCCAGAAAGAAATGTAACCTACTGGCAATGGTGTAGCTGCCTAAGGCTACAGTTCTGGTTGAGCCAAATAGAGTTTGAGCAGAAATTTAAAAGAAAATCATGGAAAACTAGGTATATTCCTAACGATCTAAAAAGTTACACATGGGTACAGGCTGTGTGCATTCCCAAGAAATAACTTGGTAAAGAAAGAAAAAAATCCTCCATGCTCATCATCTCAGGTTGAATTTGAGATGTTGAGCAAATAGGAAATTAAAAAAATGTAAAATGGTAAAAATTAAAATCAGGTATAACACCTATTACTGACAATGACATTGAAAAAGAAATATTACATGGCTGGTAGAAATCTGAACAATTTAGCCATTTTTGTAAAAACAGTATGAGATCATTTATTACAAGTAAAAATAAACAAAACTCCTCCATTTTTAGGACTAGCAATTGTACTCCTAAGCACTCATTCCATAGGAACAATAGGACCAATTCTTATGGAATATGTATAAGGACTGCAATTGCAGTATAATTTTAGTGATTAACAACTGAAAACAATGTGAATGTCCATTGATTTGAAACAGCTGAATAAACTGCAATTTAAACAACTGGCCTTTATACAGCCATTAAAGTAAGGAATTAGAGCTAGGTCAGAAAACTGATGGAATTTTACTGAAGTATAGTGGATTAAAAAAAAAAAGATGCAAAAAAAAGACTAATATAATCCTTATTTCTATAAAATTATGTCCAGAAAAAAAGCTCTCATGTTTGTCTGTGTATACAAGTGCCGTAAAGTTCATGTGCAAAATAAATAGTGTCCAATTTAAGATTGCACACGAACTTTATGGCCACCCTGTATCCATTTTGGAAGACCAACTGTAAGATTTCTGATTTAGTTTACCTGGCAGGGTATGAAGGTGTATTGGGCTGCTAATGTGGAGGATGCGTGAGGGAGAAGGAACTAGTACAATATAATCCCAATTCCGTAAAATAATATATATGTGTATATAAAAAAATTCAAGGCCAGGCGTGGTGGTCCACACCTGTAATCCAACCAATCTGGGTGGCCAAGGCAGGTGGATTGCCTGAGCTCACGGGTTTGAGATCAGCCTGAGCCAGAGCAAGACCCCATCTCTAAAAAAAATAGCTGGGTGTTGTGGTGGGTACCTGTAGTCCCAGCCCTATACTAGGGATGCTGAGGCAAGAGAATCACTTGAGCCCAAGAGTTTGAAGTTGCTGTGAGCTATGATGCCAGGACACTCTACCGAGATCAAAGTGAGACTCTGC